AATTAAAAACCAACCGAACAACAACATTATTTAGTTTGTTATCCACATTATTTATTTAGGCGTTTATCTGTCCCTTATTCTTCTTTCTATGTTAACTGTGGCGGTCGCTGTAGCGAAACAAGACAGCTGTTTCGTGAACCTATCGAACTGTATAAAGAATATATCTCACTGAACCAAGTCAGACCTTGTATTGTAGCCCCACCTGCCTCGTTTTTAGTGTAGGATGTCACGTGCATGCACATCGGAAATAGCGAGTATTAATTAGAAAGGAAGGAAAATGGGAAGAGGATGATGATCCCAGGGATACCAATTCATTATCTATACACTAATTATGTCGTTATATATATATAAATTCTTCCGTGATATTTTCTGAAAGCTCGCACAATATCATTATTATTTTACATTTTTTGTCGGCGTACTTGTGTTTCAAGTACGAAAACGATACAAACTTCGAGCATTGCTCTCTTCTTATGCACAGACAGACCTCTGGCTGAGGTATAATATTTTGTTTAACAATGGTTTGAAAAGAGATCATTAGCCTGATTGGTCACATCTATAAGTAAACAAGAATTTATATGATTAACTAAGAACGGTCCATCGAAATACTTGGAAGCGTATTTTCTGCGTTTGAAAACATCTTTGGAACGTGAATTATTGGCCTTAAGGCTTCTCTTATATATAATATCATAGGATGTTTTGATAGAATAACTTTTTCTTATGTAGTCCTGTTAATTCGAAAACTTCAGACACTATTTCACGTAAAAAAGCAGTTTTTTTTCAAAAATAGAACAGAAAAAAGTGGATTCCTGCCTCGTTGGAAATTAGAATTTTAGTTATTCTTCAGTTTTTTATCACGAAAATTTTCAACGATTGAGTAAACCAGTTGAAAGCAATAGTTAAGGTATTGGAGTCTCTATGCTTCAGCAGTTAGGGTAAAAAGCCTTTAACAAATAACATGGAAGACGCTACTTAGGAAAGGTTTCGTGTCACTAATAAAACCATGAAATGACTTTAGGAAAAGCTGAGAACAAGAGTACTTTGACTTTCGACCACTGCCCTATTGAGAATCTGATCATACAAGGCTGAACGTACAAAACAAAAGAATAACTCTTATTCATGACAAACTGCTGAATTACAACTGCCCTAGCGCCCTCGTTTGGGATATTGCTGTACTAGTTTCGCATGATAGTTCAGGCGTGAGAAAGTGATGGTACTGAAAATTTCTCAGAAATCTAAAGCGAATATCTTTTTTTAACAAATGACCATTAACCATGACCGAAATAAAGAAATAACCGAAAGAAAAAGAGGAAACTGGTGTGAAATCGAAAATTTGACTGATAAAGTTAGCAAAAAAAAAAAAAAAAACGCGAAGGACTTGCTTAACAGTAGTTTGATATTAAACAGCTCTCGGTATATATTAAGGTCTTCTCAACCCCCTTCATTAATTTAAGGTTGATTTTAAGTTTTCCTTTCAAACTTTTGATGTACCATCTGTGCAAGTCTTACAGTTCTAGAAGACTGTATTCTCACTTTCACATCATTAGCCACCAAAAGAGACGTTATCTTAGCTTGGCCATTGGACATGGAATAATTCTATACAAATGTCGTACTATATATATATAATAGAGAGGTAGTCGCACACTTCAAAAAAACGCCTGAAAACATTGAAATTTTGTCAGAAGTCTCGAATGTTACGAACATGTAGACAACAACTATCGTAAAGTGAAGGTGTTAGAGCGGCAAAATCACCAAGGTATCCGTTATAGTTATACGTTAATGTATTTTGTAATAGTACTTTTAGTATGATGTAAATGAAAAATTCATTCGGTAGAGACGCGTAGTGTCATTGTGTCTAAATATAATCCAAGATACTAAGCAAGAGTTGATTTTATACTTGCCATTAATAAGCATATTTCTTGAGTAATATTTCAATTCATGATTTTGCATCGATATATATAAAATTAATACTTGAGCCGGGTTTAGCGTATAATGTTTACCGTGCTGGGCTGCGAATCGAAAAGTCCAAGGTTTTTCCCGCGATTCTACTGAACACGTTTAGTTGTGGATGCATTATAAAAATGACAGCAAGTCCCATTATTCGAGGAAATTTTTATACAAACACCATGTGGTGACGGGTGCTGCTGACTGGCTGTCTTTCTTCTGGTTCGCAGTTCAAAATAATATCGGAATCCCAGAGGTCTCTGACTGCTGTTTAGCTCATGTGCCCATAAGGTGGCGTTCAGTTGTAAGTACTATAACATGTAAAACCACTTTTATGTTAGAACACAAAAATTAAAACTGAATTTTGTTATAGAATAAAGATAGAACATTCGCTAAGAATTTTTAATCATAATAGAAATACAGAATTAAAATTCATCTGTTAATTAACAATTTCATAATATGAACGACACAATTATAACTTTTCGTTAGAAAGCAAGCAATACAGACGACCGACCATAAGAAAATATTTTGCGTACTGTGGCACTTCAAATAATTTAGAAGAAAATTATAAATAGCGAAAGAAAAATGTTTTAGGGTTTTCAGTTACTGATCGATAATGAGAGGCCCGGCATGGCCAGGTGATTAGGGCGCTCGACTCACAATCTGCGGGTCGCGGGTTCGAATCCCCATGACACCAAACATGACACCGTGGGGGCATTATAATGTGACGGTCAAGCCCACTATTCGTTGGTATAAGAGTTGGCGGGGGGGTGGTGATGACTAGCTGCTTTCCCTCTAGTCTTGCACTGCTAAATTAGTGACAGCTAGCGCAGATAGCTCTCGTGTATCTTTGCGCGAAATTCAAAACAACCAACCAACCAATCTATAATGAGTGCTTTACAATTAGGTTACAGCCAATCCCAACCATTGATCATATTCTTACACATTGTTGCGTCAGCGAGGTCACGTGACTAGTATCACGCCACCTCCTTCTAGAAATATCCTGTTCCTTCGTGAATTGTCGGGAGACTACTAGATTGGGGGTAGTCTAGTATATATAAGACCGGCCACGAAGCGACGGGGA